TAGAATCTAGTGATCAAAACTCAGCTCTGTTAATAACATGGTGTGAACTTGAAGGAGGGAAGCAGAAGTCATCCATATCTTCATGTTCTAATTCTAACGTCAGGGGAACAAAGGGCTGTGACAGTCCCATGTGATCTTTTTCTAAACAGAGATTCTAGTATGTTGATGAGCACTGCAAGTTAAAGTATCACGATTTTAAAGAGGACAGAGGGGCAGGTAAAAATACCATCAATTAACATTCACTTAATACTCACCTTGAAAATGGCTTGCTTCTCTTACTATGGCCAAGAATGGTGGTCCCCGCCGGCCCCAGCTTGGCACTCTCTCGCAACCAGTTGGCAGGTGGGAGCTTCAGGTCCGTCTTCTCCTCGAGGCGGGCAAATGCTGTGCGAGGAGGGGCAGAAGAATATTTCACCACAGCGCGGCTCTTCACCTCCGTGCCACCCAGGAACAGAGCGGACCCCTAGTAGACATATTGGAGGAACTGCTGAGGATCGTGACTCAGTGACTCAGAACTAAATTCTCACCTTTACACACAGACACACACGCGCGCGCGCATACGCACGCACCCGCATCAGGCTTGGCAAGGGAGAATGCCACATATGCTTAACAGCACTAATACATGTGAGCAGCATAAAATCACACTTACTGAGCTCTTTTTCACATAATTTCAAAGAAAGAAGGTAAGTCAACGAGTATGACAGTTGTGGTCATCAGCCAGGAAGGAGGACAACCAATCTATTTTTCTTTTTTGAAAATTGTGATTTGGGTGAAAGTTTACAGAGGAAATTCGTTTTCCACTCAACAGTTCATACACAATTTGTTTCATGACATTGACTGCAATTGCTATAATGTAACAGCTCTGTTCCCAGGTATTCCCTGTGGTTACCTTTTCCCTGTGTCCTTCTTTCCTATGCATTCCTGCCCTCTGAGCTATCTCTCATGGGTGATCATTCCAAGCAGTGTACCTACCTGGTATAAATGTTCACCTTATAGCCTTATCCATTGTCTGGCTGGAAGCCACAGAGTGAGTGCAATTCCCAGCCTGAAGAGTGACTAGAGGCCACAGTCTCAGGGGTTTCACCAGTCTCTAACAGACCAATAAACTTGGTGTTTAGGATACTGAATTCTATTCTCCATTTTTCTCCCACTCTATCCAGGATCTCCTATTTTGATCCCTCTATGAGTGGCTGACAGTGGTAGTGGGTACCACCTAGTTCTTCTGGTCTCAGGATCATGTGGGCTGATAACCAGTCTATTTTTAAAACTTATTCACATAGAAGCAGAAACCAAGGCGGATCAGTACAGGTTTCCCCTGCCACCCAAAAGTAGAGCGTTTCTAAGAAACTTTTCGTGAGCGGAGTGGTGTAAAGTGAAGGAGCAATTACC